CTTGTCAATAACACATGTGTTCTATACTGCAGCCTACACTCCCTTGTCAATAACACACACATTCGTTTCTACAGCATACACTAACCTTTCATTTAACCATATATTCGGATCCATAGCGTACAGCAATATATTATTCCTTGATGTATAACATGATTGATAGTGGTGACCACGTGTGGTCACGATCAATGCTGCCCATCATCAGTCGCCACACCATAGATCCCAATCATAGATTTACTGTAATAGGGCACTCGCAAATCAATAGTCTTCATTTCCGACCAAGCTAGAACCGTTACACCAGATATCTAATGCACTTTGATCATTCTGGCACAAAACGCGATGTACTGGTGCGGAAACAATTTTGGACATTTGGCAGATTTGATGATCGGATGACGGACAAGTGTGTCGGTGTCGGGGCCAGATTGATCCCAGGGGCTCTAATTAGTCTGTCAAATTTAAACACACGCACACCAACCGAGGCTGAATCAGGAATTCACAGTTTCTGAAACGTGCTGGGTATGTTTACCCAAGGGTAAGGGTTTCGGTTATATACAGTTCAGGCATAGGTAGCGTGTGGGTTGAAGTGAGAGGTGTTTCCATGTGCCAAGTCTGTATTACAGTATGTCATATGTGTCAAATCAGTGTTAAAGTGTATCAAATCAGTATTGCAGTGTGTTATGTTTGTCACATCATTGTAACAGTTTTTCACTACTGTGAAATCATTGTCACAATGTCTCAAATCAGTGCTACAGTGTGTCAGATCAGTGCTGTAATATGTCAAATCATTGTTACAGTTTTTCACTCCTGTGAAATCATTGTCACAATGTGTCAAATCAGTGCTACAGTGTGTCAGATCAGTGCTGTAATATGTCACATCATTGTTACAGTTTTTCACTCCTGTGAAATCATTGTCACAATGTGTCAAATCAGTGCTACATTGTGTCAGACCAGCAATACAGTGTGTCATGTGCATCAAGTCAGTATTGCAGTGTGCCACTTGTTACAGGGTGTCAAATAAGTGTAACAGGGTGTCAAAGAAGTGTTGCAGTGTGTCAAATCAGCTTTACATCAGTGGGAAATTCATTATACTACATGCCCTTTGGGGACACCCTGAATTGCTCCTCAAGTTTGTCATTAACTAACAGGAAGGCTGGATGGTAAGGGTTTATGACTTGGTCACTCGCTCTTTACACGAATCAGCACTTACCGGTATGTAATATAGTATTTTTCATCTGGGTTGTTATACACTTTGTCAATATTCCAGCTATGTGACGTCTGGAAATGATGTATTGACCAAAAATAATACTTCACTCATCTACCGAATCCAGACCAGCCACACGAGGAACAGAAAATATGATCAGTCTGTCAGGGAACGTTACGCAAGTGACCTCAACCCAGCCCACCCAATCCTCTAGGGCAACTATTCTTACATTTACGTAGATCTATTGAATAGCTGAACTGGCTAAGCAGTGATTTCTGTGTGCGGCAATAACAATTCTACAAGAAACAATCTCCAGGGTCTACTGCCTATAGATGACTTATAGACAACGGTCACCAATAAAGCTATGAGACTGTTATAGCAATAAAGTCAGATTGACCCATGCCAATATTTTATGCTTCTGTGAGTTCGACATGCGTGTCTCAATGATACACCCTATACTTTATTGTCTGTTTACCATAAACATGAATATGCCATTACAGCCCAACATGAAAATGTCAAGACCATGTCCCTAAGCAATCACAGCAGGCGGATTGCACGAACCATTAAAGTGATGAAAAACATGCCTGGACATGTTGTCTTTGCATTTGTCTATAACATCAAAGTCCACTGAAGATTCCAGTGTCCTGTCATAGCTTCTGGCAGTTTCTGTATTGATGGCGGACTTGAGGAAGCCTAATGCCAGCAGTTTCAGATGCAAACAGCCACTCACACACTGACCGTGTGTATATGGTCCCTGGGGTTACAAGAGTTAATAGTCGTGTATAGATAGCCCAGCTTTATGTTGCTTAGTTGCCCTTTACTATTGATTCCTGGATGCTTTCATGCAGGACTGAAATTAGCTCTGATTAATGCTTGTTGTAATGAAGGAATATATTGACCTTTTCATTACATTGCCTGTGACAACATGGACTGTTTTGTAAATGCATGGCGTCCCACTGCAGTCGACACTCCACTACAGTCAACACTCCACTACAGTCAACACTCCACTACAACACCCTCATTCCTCTGCATCCCCACTATAACATGCAGCCTGTAACATGACTTGTCACTGCATTCTCACTTCAACATGCAGCCTGTAACATGACTTGTCACTGCATCCCCACTATAACATGCAGCCTGTAACATGACTTGTCACTGCATCCCCACTATAACATGCAGCCTGTAACATGACTTGTCACTGCATCCCCACTATAGCATGCAGCCTGTAACATGGTGACTTGTCACTGCATCCCCACTATAACATGCAGCCTGTGACATGGTGACTTGTCATTGCATCCCCACTATACCATCCAGTCTGTGACATGGTGACTTGTCACTGCATCCCCACTATAACATGCAGCCTGTAACACGGTGACTTGTCACTGCATCCCCACTATAACATGCAGTCTGTGACATGGTGACTTGTCACTGCATCCCCACTGTAACATGCAGCCTGTAACATGACTTGTCACTGCATCCCCACTATAACATGCAGTCTGTGACATGGTGACTTGTCACTGCATCCCCACTATAACATGCAGCCTGTAACATGGTGACTTGTCACTGCATCCCCACTATAACATGCAGTCTGTAACATGGTGACTTGTCACTGCATCCCCACTATAACATGCAGTCTGTAACATGGTGACTTGTCACTGCATCCCCACTATAACATGCAGTCTGTGACATGGTGACTTGTCACTGCATCCCCACTATAACATGCAGTCTGTGACATGGTGACTTGTCACTGCATCCCCACTATAACATGCAGTCTGTAACACTTGTCACTGCATCCCCACTATAACATGCAGTCTGACATGGTGACTTGTCACTGCATCCCCACTATACTATGCAGCATGTAACACGACTTGTCACTGCATCCCCACTATAACATGCAGTCTGTGACATGGTGACTTGTCACTGCATCCCCACTATAACATGCAGCCTGTAACACGGTGACTTGTCACTGCATCCCCACTATAACATGCAGTCTGTAACATGGTGACTTGTCACTGCATCCCCACTATAACATGCAATCTGTGACAGGGTGACTTGTCACTGCATCCCCACTATAACATGCAGCCTGTAACATGACTTGTCACTGCATCCCCACTATAAAATGCAGTCTGTGACATGGTGACTTGTCACTGCATCCCCACTATAACATGCACTCTGTTCTGTGACATGGTGACTTGTCACTGCATCCCCACCATACCATGCAGCCTGTAACACGACTTGTCACTGCATCCCCACTATAACATGCAGTCTGTAACACGACTTGTCACTGCATCCCCACTATAACATGCAGCCTGTAACATGGTGACTTGTCACTGCACCCCCACCAAACCATGCACTCTATATCATGGCGACTTGTCACTGCATACCCACTATAACATGCAGTCTGTTCTGTGACATGGTGACTTGTCACTGCATCCCCACTATAACATGCAGTCTGTAACATGGTGACTTGTCACTGCACCCCCACCAAACCATCCAGTCTATATCATGGTGACTTGTCACTGCATCCCCACTACACCACGCAGTGTGTAACTTGGTGACTTGTCACTTTATCACATGCACGTGAAGGGAAGGCAACCAAACTCAACTTCGAGTAAGTAAGAATGGTTTAAAGCCACTTTAAACAATGTTCCAGCAATGTGACAGCAGGCGACACAGGCAATGGGCTTCATGCTGTTAGTATGTAATGAATCAAGCCTCGCCCTTATCAGCAAATGTACTCCAATGTGCTTTCCAACATTATTTATTGAGCCTTTCAAGTAGAATCTAGAGACTGTGCTTCCCTTGATCGATGTCCAGATGTCCTGGCTATTTATCAAGCAAAGTGCCATGTCACATTGATCTCCACAACGTGAAGCATGATGGTCCTTGTTTGTATAAGAAACTCATTATCACATTTCCACTTCTGCATAGGCTGATTGCAGGTGGTTGTAAAACTCTCCACTCCCAATAGGTTAATGCCATAGTAATGGGAATCAATGAAGTAAAAACCTTGCATCATGTTTCAAAACATCAGTAACCATATGTTCCTTTTGAGGACAATTTCACAGAAGCTTCTAGCATTGTAATGGCCATTCTATGACAAAATCAAACCTTGTAACAACAATCGTTGGCTATAAGGTTGCAAACTATTCTTCACAGGGTCCTATGTTAAGTCAGGAGTAAAATTAATTTTATTACTAAGGCTTCAATACAATTTTGCCAAATTCTTGATGTGCTCTAAACTGATGTGTTCCAACTTTGTCACATTGGTGACAAGGAAACCGCAAATTCTGCTATTTATAGCCAACAGGAAATACTAGAGACTGCATAAATTGGTTGTTGAACAGTTTGTATTTCATGTTTTACATCAATATAACATTGTAATATAACTAATAGTATGTATTGGAACACACTTCATTATGTGGAACTGATTGTAGGACAAACTTGAAGCCAATTGTAATTTTACTGCAGCTCTTCATGATCTAAATCCATGAAAATCACCAAAGCTAGCACCAATACTGTCCATAATGATGAAATGTGGTTCTAAATGAAATCTCTCTGGGGCTACACGATGTAACACAGACAATGATTAAGAATAATGTTCTGTGAACTGACAACCACTGTCGGCATCGATCAATGTAAACATTGGCCCAGAACTGGCTACCAATCTAATAAAAATCAGATATAGTACTCTCATACGATACCTCTCCCTGTAGAGGGATATCAGATTAGATTATAGCTTCTGATATTGAGGACTGTGTAGCTGGGCCGACAAAGATCCATAGACAACAAAACCCATATATTATCAGGGGGAAATAATCTTTTTTATTAAGAATGATAGGACAATACTAAAAGTCTCTAGCTGTTATGCGTAACACGTCAATGTTGCCTGAAAGGAACAATAAACATTTTGCTCCACATTTCTTTATAAAAATAATCTATCATGGTCTGTACACGGCTAGTATGTAATATGTAGTCATTAACAAGATGGATGTAAGTATGGTTGTCAATTGGTTGACATGAATGACGTTTTCTACGCCCCTATCTCACCAACAGCAGGCCATCTCTCGAGCCACTGCAGTGTCCTTAGCCACATTTTAGCTAGTGGTACGAATTTCTAACACTATAGTCGTCAGAACTATGAACACCTTCAAGATTGCAATATTTTGCATGCTTATTCACAAAGCTTCTTAAATAGAAATGCAAAAATGTGAAAACAAATGATAACGTATGGCCAATCCACAATGTTCTGTGAAAGGGAAATGTAAATAATATAATGAAATGTAAAAATGAAAGCCAACGATGAAATAACAGGGATTATGAATGTGAAATGTGTAATACGGAGGTATGGCCCCATAGAAACAATCTGATGATACAGCAATGTGATAACGATACTCTGTGTATATATACAACATAATGCAGTAGGTTTATACAACACTGTAGGGGCAATGTTGCCCTTAGTCTTTTGACAAACATAAACACCGTCAACTTAAGAGTTGAGACATATTACATTGTATACAGTAAGCCCATAGAGGCATACAACCATAGTGAACTCCATCGCTATACTACAGACGACCTTCATATAGTCTCAGGTAATTTAAATTATACAATTCTCATATTAATAAGGCTATCACGTACTATAGGCTTGGCAAACGCAAAATCCCTGACCATTGAAATCACATGGCTTTATGCCTCGGAGATTTAAGAGAAAAAAAAAAAGGATTTAAAAAAATACAACAATAACAAGCCAAGTTGTCTTGTAGCTGAAGCTACGTAGTGTCTTTTCACACTAAACACCAAAGTATTTATTACGTAGTCCATAAGTCCATATTAAACTCTTTAAGTTTAACTCGGCAAATGTTAAAATAACTGGAAAAGATCAGCAAAGATGGAGAGCAGTGATTATTTCGCAAGGTCTCTTTCTCCATGCCGATAATCACACGTGACACCTTGTACAATTCTACACAGCCAGTGTTGAAATCAAATTGAGCACTTTTTTGTACAGTAAACTCCTTCAAGCAAGATCCTTCTCAAGCCGAAACACGCACATCTAGAACATTTCCACAATATATATGGTCCATACTATGCACCAACACAAACAATTCACAGTTCTTGTAAATCCAAAAACAAAGGAGAGAAAGAAAGTTATAAAGCAAAGCCCAAATGAGCTGTCCAGTTCTCTCCTTTCCCCCTTGTTCCTGGGGATCTTGTAGCATCTAAGCACCTAATAGGGCATGTGGCACAACTCTAGGCAGGCAGGAAGAGTTCTGTTTTAAAAGTAACATGGCAGTGGTGCTTCCTTCCTGATGCCTTAACTGTCAGTCAACCTGTCCGTCCACATGGCCTACAGCAGATGTAACTGAGGCAACAATAGTAGTCTTCCTCTATTTTTGAGCACTTTTGAAAATCTGCAGCACGAGAATTTGTCAGTCCTGGTAAGTCAAGCATCACTTGATAGGCGTCAAGTAATGGCACTTGACTGGTGTCAAGTTTTGTGGTGTTTGATTCTAATTACATCCGATCTGAAGCCATCTTCAGTTGCAGCCTTGCGCACCGCAGTGCTGTCTACTGTGGGTTGTGAAGGAATCCTTCTGTCTGCGGTCATCTCGTATTGAGAGAGTGCAGTTGTAGGGGTTCTGCCAGCCTCAGCGTTGATGGGATGGATCAGTCATCCTCGTCAGGGTCTGTGTCCCGGAGAACAGCAATAGCATCTTTCACAGCGTGGTAGATGATGTTCTTCACCTGAAATGTCATAATAATATCATTAGTCATGGCATAAAAACTTGTCTTGTTCTTCAATTTCACAGACACAGGTCTCTTCATAATTTTACATGTCTTGGAATAACATACCCATTCAGCAAGGAGATATGACTGTCAAAAGTTCTTACCTGTAGTTTATCCTCATGGTTAGAGTGAGTGTCGGAGAGTTGGCGGAACTCCTGCGTGAGACGGAAGCAGTGGTTGAGATGTTCCGGTGATACAAAGTCCTCTGCTACCTTGATGCAGCTGTGCAGATTCCTCACTTGATGTGGGGCACCTGCGGGAATGAAGATGGCGTCACCCATACACTGCACAATAGTGTAGCCCTGTACACCATACTCCTTGTACACTCGCTCCCGGAGCTCCTCGTCAAGGTACCAGCTCTGGTCGTGAATTGGGTCATGGTCGGGTTCAATAGTCTCACCACGCTCTTTCGCAACCTACACACAAAAAGTAAAACATAGAATTCATTACTTTTTTTTCACCCAAATTCAAATGTAAACATGAAATAACATTTCTAACCAAATCACAGGACCTGAAGATACACTGTTTAGAGAATAGCCCAACTGTATCTAATATCTTTAATCTAGAAAAGTATTTCCCAACAGTCTACTATAAAGCATGTTAAAAGGGCATTTATTAGATCTTGTAATAAATCAAATTTCCCATATGATTTTGTATTCATGACATGGTATCTTAACGGTACATGCCTTTATTTGATGAATATGTGAAGTTTATATACCTTGTTGAGGAAATCTCTAATCTTGTCAGCATCATGAGCATCATAGATCTGCCAGAGAGCACCAGGCACCTCATTCACCTCTCTCACACGGCGCTTGGTAATGGAATCACACCCAGCATCATCTATAGCCTTCACAGCAGCTGCAAACACAGTCAAACATAAGTACATGGAACAACTTTGTACTTCTTATCCCAATTAAATCATCACAATTGCTTTCTTTTGTTTTTTAACATAACAAAGTACCTTAAATGTAGCAGTACAGTATATAATCAGTATCCACTATGTGTCACTAAACATTGCAACAGCTGTGGAGATCTACGATCAACAATCGATAATTTTGCCTGTACATTAACTGTACCAGGTGGTCTCTGTTACAGCTGATTACAGTCAGCATCAGCAGACCCCATAGTACGTGGATGCATCAATCACACTTCCACCATCAACAACTGGGACAGTCAGTGCGTTTATCAAAGCCAGAGCATCTAACATTTAGTTTAGGTTTTTATTTCAGCTAAAACTCTATGTCAACAGTCTACTGGACTGATACCATGTAAAACTTCAATACAAATTCACAACATATTTGCTGGACAGGAATATCCTACCTGCTTCGTGCACCTCCTTGCCCCCATCCCCACCACTTGGGATGCCTACATACACCATCACATTGACAGCGTCTGAGATATCCAGATGGAGATTTGTTGTACCCTCAGAAGGGAAACTGGCAGAGCCTGCAAGACCAACGAAAAATCATACAATTATCTAAATAAAATCCAAACATCAGATGACATTATCCAGTATATTACCAATTACAAAGGTTCAGTACAAGCTCTTCTATCAAATACAGATAGCAAGAAAAGTCATGTCAACAAATACATTACAATGAGGACTGCATCAAGATGGTCAAGGGATGATTCACCACTTTCTTTCATCAATTCACATCTTGTAGAAAAACAAACCAGGATCATTATCAAATGAGAGTGATTAAATCAGGCTACGTATTTGTACAGTGGCTATAGTTTTCTACAAAGTTTTGCTAGAGACCCACCATAGGCATTGTACATCTTGGGTCCGAGATCTGGCCTGACCAGGAAGTCCGGTAGACGAGAGGCAAGGTTGAGTTTGCCCTGCCTGTCAGTGTATTCAGGTAGTGGAAGGCCCTGCATCAGGTCCTGATAATGACGAGGCAAAAGCTCACTGAAATCATCACCAGGGGGCCAATCCTTCAGCTTCAACAACATCGGGTCATCATTCTCATCTTGTGGACGACCTGCATAACAAAAATAGTTCAAGGAATGTAAGGGGACAGTAGTAACCACTTAAGCTAAACCCAATAACAAGAAAACACAATAACCATGGCTTCAGAAGTTAAGAAAGTGATTGCACTGTTTTGCACAGTAACAGAATGATTTCCAGCTTGCAGTATCATAAGGTGAGTGAGTTTAGTTTTACGCCACTCTCAGCAATATTCCAGCTTTATGGCAGCGGTCAGTAAATAATCGAGTCTGGACCAGACAATCCAGTGATCAACAGCATGAGCATCGATCTGCACAATTGGGAATCGATGACATGTGTCAACCAAGCCAGCGAGCCTGACCACCCGATCCTGTTAGTCGCCTCTTATGACAGGCATGGGTTACTGAAGGTTCATTCTAACCTGGACCTTCACGGGTCAGTATCATAAGGTTGGAAAGCATGCAGAGTTGAACAGATTAACCATTTCTTGATAGCATGAGCTCCAATGTTAAGAACGACGACCACAAACAAATCAGGTCAGACTTCAAGAGCTGATTTCCATATCAATCAATTCTAACCACAAATCTCAAAAGGGTCACTAAATCATACAGTAATGAAATATGCTTACATGTAATCCTCTCAAAGCCATCCCAGAACTCTCCCATCTGATGTCCGATGATCACATTCCCAGTGCGGCAGTTAACCAGGTCGTTCTCCTGATGACCAAAGTCATTTCCAAAAGACTTAGGATGCCACAAGGTAGAGTCTAGATTCTTGGAGACCCCGGACACCAGCACAGGCTGACCTCTCTTCCACTGTTCCTGGAAGATCTTGAAGTTGCCCTTGTGTCGTGGGTCATGCAGGCGAAGCAGTCGGCCGTCACACAGCCAGGAATGTGGAACATCAGGATACAGAACACTAGTTTCAGTGAGGTTGTGCACCATGATCGGCAGGTCCCGAGTCCAGCCCCCAAGACGGGTGTATAATGCATGAACTTGAACGGTTGGGTGTTGTCAATGTCACGACAGCTTTTCTCCACAACCGACTGAATGATATCATCGAGGGTGTTCCCAGATGACTTTGCCTTGGATTTGGTCTTGTTGCCATCGTTCTGCACCTTGACCTTGCCCGCTGTCTTGGTGAGCAGCTCACGTAGGGTTGAACAGCTTGCAGGCATCTTCTTGTCATTCGGGTCATTGGATTCAGCAGCAGGCTCGCTCGCAGCTTTCTTCTCCTGTTGGTCAGACTTCCTCTTGCTGAAAGGGGAGTCACTACGATCTCGACTGCTCTCGGAATCCATGGAGGCGACATCAGCGAGGAGACTGAGAGGTGATGAGGCAATGTCTGGGTTGTAAGTACCCTTGCCATTGACACTGACCTCATTGGATGAATGGTGAGACTGCTTCTTAGATTTCTTCCCATGGTGAGGTTCTTCACCCAAACCGTTTACCAGGGCCTTCTTACCAGACAAATTGTTTAAGATTTGCTGAAATAAAGAGAATTTCCATTTAAAATAGATGCTTGTTTACAACATATAGACAGGGATATTGAGAATACATACCACAAGTTATAACACTGGATTAAAACTTGTTTCAAAACCATGAGCAATACAACATAGCTGAGGAAGAGTGAGTGAGTGAGTATTAGTTTTACGCCGCACTCAGTAATATTCCAGCTATATGGCGGTGGTCTGTAAATAATCAAGTCTGGACCAGACAATCCAGGGATCAACAGCATGAACATCGATCCCATTAGTCACCTCTTACGACAAGCATGGGTTACTGAAGATCAATTTTAACCCGAAGGAAGAGACACCAAGAGGAGCCATTACAGAAATCTATGTACGAATCGAAAGCAAGTACCACTTAACCAATAAATTAACACTGCACAAAATAATTTTCGTAAAAAGAGTGTACTGTAATGACTAGGCTACCCAAACCAACCATTCCAATGTACAAGATACTGTGATAAAGAACATCAATGCCTGCATTTACCTGGTTTAGCCCGTTCTTCCCCGAGATCTTAGCATCTGTAACCTGACCACATGGACACTTGGCTGGAATGGCCCACTTTGCTCTGATCTCATGGATCAGCTTCCCAAGTTCCCATAATGCTGAAACAAATAGGAAAATGAATTTTCAGGATTATGTTTCTCTGTCCCATACACAAATAAATGGAAACCACTGTCAACCAATTAATCTTTCCTTTCTTAAATATATTTCACACATTAAATATGTCCTTACAAACTTTGGGAAGATATCCATTTCTTACCATCACTAGGAATGATCTGAGTAAGCATAAGTTTCTCTGCATCGTGAGGTTGTCTGTTGGCGCTACACGGTCAGCCATCGATGATCCTCAACTGCCTCTGTGGTACAAAATCAGCTTGTTAGCTCACTCATAAAACTGTCATGTCTAGTATTATTCCAGTCACTATTAACATAAACATAACATAATATATTAACTATTGCTTTTAAAAATTTGATACGAAGAAAATTCATGAACAATCATAAATAAACAGTATGAGGCAGCTAATCTAAAATTAAAAGCAACATGAAACTGAAACCAAGTATAAAATAGTTCCTGGATATTATTATGACTTTGCACCGAACAACAAAACAATACCATTAATGAGACCAGGATGTGTATTGAATTCATTTCAGCGTAACTGCTTCAAGTGCTTCAACAACTAACTTCCTTCCTACTGGGTATGAACAGGGACTCACTTTTGCCATCGTCCTTGCTGCCCCTGACCTTCACCTTGTAACAGTCAAGGCAGACGACAAATCCGCATTTATGACACACCCAGTGCATGTTGAACAACGTAGTATCACAGACATCACACATCTCACGAACTCCTGTCACAGCTCGCTTCCATGCTATTTTAGCTGAAAAGATAACATATAATTTATACCCTGTTGGAACATATCGTTACTATATCTGATTTTACAATAAAATTTAAACAAATTATTACTAGGGCATATGATTTAATGGAAGCAAATAGAAAACAACTTTCTCAGTTTTATTCATCACTAGAATCTCTTGACATTACAAATATTTATGATTAAAATTATCCTCATTCATCACCATTAAACCAGACAAGAGTGATTCCCAAATGTTCAGATTTAATATTTTCTGATCAATCAATAAAAAGAATGACTTTTTCATGCATCTGATCGTTAATGGCCATAATGGTGAAGAATGAGGTGATTTAAGGAAGAAGGAAAAAAGAAAAATGATCCTACATTTTCCCTTACCGTTGGTCCCGGCCAGGGCTTTCGTTTCACGCTCCTGCTCCACCAGTTCACAGAACTTGTCTCCCACACGAGTGATGATGAACTTAGACGTCTCAATATCCAAAGCAGGCTCTTGAACTGAAAGTGATTCACAAATTATAGTGATAATATTTTCCTTACAATAACTTACGATAAAACTCAAAGATTTTCTGCCAATACCAATTTGAGAAGGTCTAAGTGATGACATGATGAAAACCTTGTGATTAATTACACCAGATTTTATGAAAGTAGCACATTTTCTCATCACACCTCAAAAGAACAAAATGTTCAAAGTTGAAACAAAAATACACATTAGGCAAACATTCTTTGGTGATTGCGTTATTGTTCCGATATTATAAAATGCAACATGTTGGGTAATTCTGTCAACAGATATATGTATTGCTTGATTACCTGGAGTTCTGGATAACCAGGGTTCGATATCATCCATTTCTGCATCAGACAACTCGGAGAAGCCAGATATCGTCACCACACCTTTCTGACTGTAGCGCAGTCTGTTGAAAAATATAGTCAAGACATACAGCATAAACGAACAAATGAAATAATTCAATCAATTTATCTTCATGCCATTCAATATATTTAGTTTAGGCAAAAGACTTATCTCTCTGTATCTCCATGAGAAACATACAAGTTATTACAAACATTCATCAAAAAGAAAAGACCAGAGAGACAGCTGTACCTTCTGAACGCATAAAATCTACAGAAGATGTTGGGTAGTTTCTTGCTGCGTTGGGTGGACGTCATTTTGCACTCTCGACACTTCATCAGCTTTGGTGTAATTTCAGCACAAGAGGCGTCCTGGACAAAAGGCTGACATGTTCGTTTCAGTGTTGCAACAGAGTGCTTTACTAGCGGTTTGTTGAAAGAGGAGCCTGAAATTCAGCAGAAAAATATATAACATCAATCATTCAAATACTACATATAAAAAAACAAAGATAAATTGTTATTTTAAACAAACTCTCAATCTTAAAAATGCAAAAGCAAGACAGCACTGACGTGTCAGGATCTAGGTCAAATTGAATTATCTCCCCTTGATAGCAAGATAGCTTTTACCCACCATTCTTGCCATCTTGAGAATCCTTTGAAGATTCTTTGGACCTCCTGTTTTTCTTCTTTTCTTTGACTGGTTGCTCTGTAGACTCAGTCTGTTTCGGTTGCTGAGTTGGACTTTCTTCTTGTTGCTGTTGTTGTTGTTGCTGCTGCTGCTGCTGTTGCTGTTGTTGTTGCTGCTGCTGCTGCTGCTGTTTGGTATTGGACGGAGGTGGTGGGCTGACACTATCTCTATCCCTAGATGGTTTAGTTGATGGTATCTTGGGCTTCTCTTCAGCCTTTTTTGTTACAACTTCTTCTTCCTTCTACAACAATAATTGGCTTTGAATGAAGTAACTATGATTTTAAACATTTTCAAATTGAAAACCCCAAACAATCTGGTACAGAAATTCTCCAGAGTCATGATCAACAAGATGAGTCTTTATTTGAAATGGTCAACTGTATTCAATATACACGTAGTGGAAAGTAAAGTGCATCATTCATAGGACTGCTTCATCACACCACTCTATTCATAACCCATCCAAAATGTAAAGGAGCTGCATCAAAACATACCACAAATAACTGACACCGAAACAAGCAAAGCAATCAACATTGCCATGGTAAGATGACACATTCGTTATCAGTCCAGCCACACATAATTACCACCAAATCCTAATTAGCTGCTTCCTTAACAATGCATGCATACTTGAGACCTACTCTGTGTCAGAGATCCCACTTGGTGACCATTCTCCTAATAAATATGGCGCCAATGCCATGAGAGTGTGAAGCATCAGACTGGTCGCGAGTTCTTGAATCAATATGGTTGCAGCCGAGTACTTCACTGCACCATGTCCTTAGCATGTGTACTCAGCAATTACAGATATGCACTCTCTCAACTGGCTTTAAAGCAGCTGATGATCTAACCTTGATTTCCTTTGTTTTAGCTTCTTTTGTCTCCCTCTCTTTTCGCTTATTGGCCGTCTTTTTCCGGGAATTGTTTGCAGGTTCTTCTGTTTTAAATTTTTAAGCGCCAATGTTGGTCTTCTTGGTTTTCACTCTCTTCTTTGGCTGTGTGCTCTCAGTGCACTGAAAGAACAAAGATAGCCAATTACATTGAGTTGTGATGACAATGTATAAATGACTTTAATTATGTTGTATTAATGAGCAAATGACTGATGACATAATAGTATGATATCATGTCACTGTATCAATGCAACTGCATGGCTGAGAAAAAAAATTCAATTTCATTAAATACAGAGCATTTTATTGAACATGATACAATTATGGTGAACATAATATTCCTATTTGATATATGTAATCCTCAAATCCATATGCTGAGTAAATAATATACCTGAAGTTTTCTTGGATAAATTAAAAAAAATTAATATGGACCACAAAAATATAACTAGACCCTTGACAATTATGTAAGCAGGCCAAACAAAATACAAACTGTCAATGCTATGTTTGAAAACTCATAATACTCATATGAATGTTCTGGAAACAAAATACTATGAGCAAGAAGACGGACTCTGGCAACATAAAAACAGACAGACCATGATTTCTATACAACCAACAAATTGGTTTCAACATTTTTGAAGAAAACTGACACCATCATTTTTTCCAAACTGCCCACAGAGGAATTTGTGGAAGGAGCCCAGTTACATTTTTGTATCGGATGAGCTGTGCCTTGCTGTGCAATATAGTCAACTCTTTATGTAAGCTGTTTGGGGAGAACAGCACCTCTTTGTGCATTCACCAAGGAGAGGATGACGGCAATTTGACAGGGCTGATGTACTTGTGACAACTCAGATTATTTACAACTTAAACTTACATCCCTGTATACTGAATAAACAGATATGATATAAATTCATTTTATGAGCACAATACAAGTAACGCCTAACCCTAGGTCACTGCAACGTCTTTTGTTATGCAGGAGATACACGAGAAGGATTTATATGCAACATGCGCAGATTTTTCCCTTTGTTTGACATGTGCTTGAAAGCTTGACATGTTTGTTTTGTATGCAGGTGTTGCCATCAAGTGAAGTAAGCAAGGGGTCAGTGAGCAATGGAGTTCCCACGTTCACTGTACTTCAATACAGTATCCAAACTTTATCAAATTGGGTGTGTAAGCACAGGCACTGAAAGCTGTGCAGGCAAGGCTTTCAAATCACATAGCCAATTATTTACTCTTTCAAAAGGCAGCATTGAAATCATGACAGTCATAAATACATCCGTCTGTCCTGAATTTCTTTTCCGCTTATTCAAAGTCAAATTTTGTGTAACTGGTTGACGATTGAGGTCACCTATGAATAAATGTTGACGCTTCGTTGATGATATGTGAATATGGATGGTATTTCTATGGTATATTGATGGTATGATTTGCACCAGCTGGTGGCTGTTTATAAAAGCTAAAAGGAAATTCTTCTCTGCGTTTGGGTAAAGTTCAACATCAGCTGCTAGCACAGGCTGGCTGACTGACTATATAAAATCATATATTTTGACTTTAACTTCCATAACACACATTTTCCCCCAAACCCATACATTCAATGAAACCGATACTACATACCTCTAGGAGAGGCAATGTTTCCTATAAAGGATGAGAATTTCATGCCCATAAGACCACTGACTTTAGAACTGAAAGGACGCAACTTCAATAAACCGACCACCCCACTCTAGATATTTTGATAACCTTGTACAGACACACAACATGTCACAGAACTGAAAGGATTATAGACAAATAAAACACAATTCATCTTGATGATTGTCTCTCCATTTTCCCACCAAATTCAACTAAAGGGACATAAATAAATTGTCTGTCATTTAAATTTGAGGCTGTGCTGTAAAGTGCTGTACATTGCTCTACCCCATTTGTGTTCCTAATCCTTACAATTCGGATGAAAACGATTAGAATGACCATGATAATATGTACAGATATTTCTGAGTAACAACCCCCAATTGTGTTGACAATATGGGTGCCACCTTCAACCATAACTTGGAGATGATTGCTTCTAATTGCCTGAGATGAAACAAACCTTAAACATAAACATTTTACAAAAGAATCCTACTTCCTTTGATAGGGCAAGACAAATAATCTAAACCAGAAAGCTAAAGACTCATCACAAAACACAATTTGGAACACGTTTTTATGGATAACAACTTCTTTATTTCGTGAGTGAGTGAGTGAGTGACCTATGTTGTTATCCATAAAAACATGTTCCATATTGTACGTCTCAACTTCTAAAAATGCCACTCAAACAAACAAAACACAATGTTGATTTACTATCATCAGCCAACAGTCAGTAGTATAGCAGCAGCAGATGTACTTCTCTACAGTGATCCACATGACACAGTATCCTACTCTTACATCAGATATGTATGGAATGAACTGACACCAGATGCAGCATGAACATAAATCATCTCGAGCCATACACCTTATTCGACAGGAAATACCACATGACATCAGATACAAAACTGTCTGGAAAGCAGCACCATGACATCAGACCTATGTTGGGCTATGAATCATTCTTCTACTACTACACAGCATGGTACGCACTTGTGACAAGACATCGATGATACACTGTACATTAATAGCCCATGGGCAGCATTTACAATTCAATACCAGTTTCATGAATAATTCAACAAGCAGTTGATAGCCACGTGTTACAATTTCAGCATAATACACCATTAATAACCATAACACAAGAGCACCCACAACTTCATGAACAAACACGTGTGCACAGTAAAATATCCTGAAAGCAAAAACAGCTCCATGTGATAGCTCCACTGGCTGTGATGGTGAAATGTGAGATTACAAGAATGGCAGAGTAAATGGCAACATATGTTGTGTTGGGGATGTAGGTCACCGTACATACTGCTGATGATGGCAGAGCATATGAACCCTACTCGCAGGGGCTTCCACACAAATGGCAAATGGCTACCATTGCCAATACATTCCTAAACAATTTCAACAGTAACACCATGTGGTACAGATTATTCAAAACTGCGTAGTTGTACGAACTCCAAGTCAAAACAAACAGTGTTTCGTAAATTGGGGACAAGTTGGAAATTGTTTGGACATTTTAGAGAAATCTAAAGCAGTTTCCGACAGAAGCCCAGGAATTTGCTGAGCATGTGTTGAATATGCAGTTTGTCATGATGCTTCCTTGAAAACCTGTTCTCAGGTTGTTGTACACATAAACATCACATAGACTAGAAGGTTAGGTTTTTTCACAAGCTAGTGTTCTGGTTATCATCAAGAGTGAGTACAATGCTCTCCCTGTTCGGAATATTAATGTCACAGCAAGACCGTAATTACAATCACAGCATCATTCTCAATGCACCAAAAGGGCTGCGGTATTAAAACATTTACAGCTATAGTATATATCCAGAGAACTTTGAAACAGGATGCAATTTTGCCCTGCCATTTCAAACAAGCAATAAAAATGACATTTTACTAGATCTATATATGGATTCCATTTGTACGACCTAGAAAGTAATCCATTCTAACAAACCTTTAACAGTTTTCGGCTTTTACAGAAAGTGGATGCTTTAGTGCACATACTTGACACACCTTAGTATTATTGCTATCTGAATATGTGCAACTATTACCAATATATCCATTTGTACAATATTCACCCCTGTACATGTAAATGCCAGACCTTTACCAGTTTTCTGTATCTACAGATAAGGGTTGTTTTAGTGCATGTTCTTGACACAGAATTACTATTACTACTTGAATATGCATAATTATTACAACTATATATTCATGTGTATTATATTCATATTCAATGTGTATACATGTATATGCCATAGGATGAATAAAAAGTTTATTTAAAATAACCCCAAAAACCAAACTTCATTATGTCAGTTAGATACAACTTCAAAAATAATCAGTCCAAATATTATCAAATTAACAAAACATGTCCCATTATCATCAATAATTTCTAGGTACAAAATATCAACACAGTAGTGAAGGAAAGCAAGTCATCCCAGATGGAATCCCTGATCCACACAGACAAAACACCAAAATCACAAAATTATGCCAATTATCTAAAACAATCCATAGAATGCGTAACTTACCACTGTTTCTGTTTCCGAGGCTGATGAGGTAGATTCATCGTCCTGTTTACCGAGATCAGTGATGTTACCATTGGGCAGAACAGCTGATGGAGAGCCAGCACAACTTTCACTATTGGAGGAATCCATTGATTCTTTCAGTACATTGTTTTTAACATCTTTCGATGAATTCCCCTCACCCGCAACTGGAACACTTTTCATTTCCTTGTCCTCATCAGAATGTCTCTGTAACCAAGCCTTTTTAAGATTTTTCGGATGGCTTCCAGATTTATTTAATGGACTTGCATCTGATTTTGATTGAGGAGGAGGGCTAGGAGCACTTAATGTATCACTATCAGTGTCCATCTGTCCATTGGCTACCCTGTTGATGGTGTCCATGTAACTGGAAGCAATGTTGCTACTGACGTTGCTGCAAGTGGTCACCACAGATGATGACGTATCCTCATTCACAGTGCTAGGTGGGGGAGGTAGACTGGGTGGTGGAGCAGGAGGAGGAGTGGTTGTTACCTCCATTTTCTCAACCTTGACCTCAGCTGGAACAGACACTTTCTCACTTTCTGCTGCCGTTTTGTGACTGTTCATGGTTCTATTATTGTCCCCCACAGGGTTCTTCTTCTCTTCCTGTTGAAACACACTTGTCACAGTGCTTTCTACAAAAGAGCGAAAACTGTCCATGAAACCTGAATTCTTTGAGAAAGGATTTGAGAGCTGAGCAGTTACTGCTGCTGCAGAGAATGAAGATGAGGAGGAGGAGGTGGTGGACCCTGTAGTGGCAGGTGTTGTCACTGAAGGTATTCCAGATTTGGGGGTAGTAGTGGTAGTTGTTGTGGTGTAGGGTGAAGGATTTGTTAGAATTTGAGGGGTGGTCACAGGTACTGTCACCATTGGAGATGGTGAGTTAGGGGAAAGCGAGCATGCCTGGCCTCTAGCACGCTTCTTTCCACCATTATCACGATTAGGCTTTCTCTTTTGCCCTGTGGCAGGGTTAGACTGTGAAGATGGTGGCGACACAGACATCATAGGAGAGGGAACAGAACTTGGTGTATGCACTATAGCTGAAGGAGTCGGAGTCCTTGTTATCTGCACAGTGGCAGGTTTGGCAGCACTTTGTGATGGCCCATGACTGTAAATGGGGTTTGGCACTAGTCCTTGCTGAATTAAGCTATATGTAAATGAAAGCGTGGAGGGTGGTAACGAGACTGGAGGTTGTGCAATAGCAGGATAAGCTGCTGTGGATTGTCCAGGATGGTGCCCTGCTGTTGTGCTGCTTGGGGCAGGGTGGTTGTTTGAGGGGCTGGGTATGTGAGCTGGAGAAGCTCCAGCAGATTTGAGCTTTGCACTGGATGAAGAGGAGGACTTGCAATAATCCACAGGTTGTGACAGGGGGGAGCTCTGGTGATGTTGCTGCTGCTGCTGCTGCTGCTGCTGCTGTTGTTGGTGAGACTGCTGACTAGTTGACTTGTATGGACTTTGAGATCGAGAACTTTCTGGGGGCCTAAACGCAGTAGGGTGTGTTTGGTGAAACATGGAGCCCCCTGTTGTACTGACTGCATGAGGAAACATATGTGGAATACCTGCTGGACTAGCTGACGATGAAACAGGTCGGTCCGGCCGATGTTCTGGGGTGTGTGCAGGGCGTGGCTGAGGGCGAGGGGATGATGACATGGGTGCTGGACTGCCATAATGAGGACTTTCAGATTTCACACTGGACTTATTCTCAACTATCACTGAGCTGTGCTTTTCCTTCGGATGCTGATGTGCCATCTGAATTTCCTTTGACCTTGGTGACTGTGAAAGCACATGACCGGAATGGGCTGGAGCTGGGAAGGTCTTAGGGTCTTGCTTTTCATCTTTGATATGCTTACCGGTAGGAGCTAATCCATGCTGCTGCAGTTGCTCTGGTGTTATTATTGAAGGATGTGGTTGAGATGGATAGCCATACAAGTTAAAAATAGTCCTGTGTTTGTCAGGAGGGAAAGATCCTCCTGGATAGGGGTATGGATAACCATACATATTTTTACCATCATTCGGTGATCTAGAGGTATCCACTTTAGAGTCTTTATTTTCACTTTTCTGATGAGCATCAGCAATCATTTGCTTATATGCATCATGTTGTGATTGAATGTATCTCTTCTCATCCATCTGCTGTCTTGCTGCCATCTCTTGATGATGATGTCTCTCTCTTTCCCTCTCACTTTCCTGAAACAAAAATTCCTTCCAATCAATATTTGAAGAATAAGCAAGAGTTTAAATCTTGGAGGTCACATCTCATTTCAGCCTTAGTTGAACACAAGCCCTGAAGTAACAAATTCTACTATCCAGACAAATTCTGTTGAGAACCTTGTCATTTCTGAAAACGACATTATTCTTAATTCATAGCGCTGGCTATGTTACATGGGTGATTGTTTCACTATAACTGGTGCTATCATGCATTCATTACAAACTTATTTGCAAGGCCACCCTGCCTGTTATGAAATACTCATTTAAGTAACAGTAATAGTCCGCATATATGGCGCTCCTATCCAGGCACATTGCCTGCTCACGGCACTACGTACATTACATGTGATTAACACTGCAATCCTTCAGGTCATGAAATCAGTGGTAGTTTATGAAGATAGATACATAAGTAGTACACTGATGAATTTCTGCACCACGCTCTGCGCCTTACTAATTTTCAGTTCACAAAACCAACTGCATAATCAATGAATCAATAAATTCCCTCAGATTAACACCTTATGATTCACTGAAGCCCGCCATGCTGGCAACCCTGCATTAGAGTGACTATATGCTGGTGCCTGATGCAACGTCTGTGAGGGTTACACCAGCTAGTATTATAACAGATCAATGCCCTCCATCTGACTCACACTCACATCAGGCCACATAATGGTGGGATTTCACTTGCTTGATGCAATGTCAGATACTGCAGACATTCTGAAGTCAGACTTTGAATCCCCACTAGTCATTATCAGCATGACGAACATCATGGAGGCTCTGGTCCTAACAGACTGAACCTAGTCACTGGAGGTTCCTTCTTTGTACAAATACAATAGTTTCTACTTTACCATGTCAGTTTCCTCCAAATGAAAACCTTAATAAACTGTGACTGACTGACTGACAGACTTTGGTTTTACGCCGCTTTTAGCAATATTCCAGCAACATCACGGCGGGGGACACCAGAACTGGGTTTCACACATTGTACCCATGTGGGGATTCAAACCCAGGTCTTCGGCGTGACGAGCCAACGCTTTAACAATTAGGCTACCACACCGCCCCTTAATAAACTGTGAAGTATGGTCATAAAGAAGGTGCTGACGAATAGTTTCACTGTATGTGAATGATACCATTTACCAGATAGTTCACTTCAGGAAGCCTTCAATCAAAACACGTATTCAGATACGTCTGGCACATATCTAAACACTGATGTATTTGTCGGCCGATCTTAACCACTTATTGCTATGGATCCACATAAAAAGAAGAAGTCATGCTCTAAAAGGCTTTCTTTAATTGTTTTGCAATTCTGTCTGTAACTATTTCATTAGCAAACTGAATTTGACAGATAATAAACCAGTATCAGTACTAGGACAAATTGCAAGACAAGGTGTCCGATACACACAGCCTTACATCTCCAGCAAGTAAACGATCATGTAACAACAATATATTAACTTGAGACACCTACTTCGTTTAGTTATAATATCTTCTTCTTTCCTTGTATCGTGAAGTGAATGAAGTCCTGAGCGGGTCTGTGGTTCTGGCTTAGGTATGCCAGTTCCCCTTGTTATTGAAGGAAGAGGCCACGCTGAGCCAGGGGCCTGAAAATATTTTCAAAATTATTTCCCAAACATGACTCATTCAGTGGCTCCTCTACTGATTTGTTGAAAGTACTTTCACACATGACAAATTCCTACACATCAGGCAAAATCTTAGGAGACTAAAATCAAATTTTCCCAACCTTACTTACCATGGTTTAACCATCAATGAGAAACATCAATATTATGATTTATAACATGCAATCCAGGAATATATACCTCATAAATACCCAGTGGTGGTAGACATGTAGAACTGACATTAAACTATTTTCCTTTGAAGGGTCTACTGTAATCAATAACACAGCAATCCTTGAACTTCTGTATTGACAATACCGAGCATTAGTCATCTCCTATATCCTGGTACAATTCATCAAACTGTCAGACCATCTGTCAAGCATGTCCACAACACCAGCATCACGTAACTCGCCTGCATATCAAGTTAACATGATGTGAATAACACTCTTCACGATCCACTGATGGCTGACATCTAACAACAGGACTGTCTAACTTACATGTTGATTAACATTTTCTTCAAACCAATTAGCTATTTAATTTCAGCAACAAAATTCTTTCCCAACTTCCTTAATGAAATCTGTAACGCAGTTACAGTTCAAATAGTCATAAGTAGGTCAATGCTATAAGGAAAATATTATTTACAGCCACCACCTGAAAGGATTGATTTGACTTTGAAACACTTTCTTTAAAGACTACATCAGAATGACCACAAGTATTAGGTATGGTCAACTAATTGTCATTTTCACTTACCCTTTGACTTGCTAGTCTCAGAGACTCTGTAAAGTGTTTATCAACTGCAGCAAGAGCATCAGATGACTCATGTAAGATCCTTTCCCTCTCCTGTCTCTGTTCCTGTTCTCGGAGCAGACGCGAATGTTCCCGCCTTTCCCTCTCAAGTCTATCTTGCCGTTCTCGTTCCTTCTCCAACCTTTCCAATTCGTGTTGTTTCTCTCGTTCTTGTCTTTCCCTTTCTGCTTTCTCTCTTTCAGCTTTCTCTAACCTGTCTCTGAAATTCACAAGCATGGAGGTGTGATTCAAGCTGTACATGGTTGGTGGGTTCTAGTGGAATACCTGAAACTAGGACAGCAAGGGCAAAAGAAGGTCACACTTGACTTCACAGCTATAGCAATGTATTGACAATCATACCCCGGGGAGCTATTCACCTAGTCTATCCCCATTGAAAATTAGTCAACCATACAACACAGCAACTTTTGTGAAGTCCTGCATCAGTGATAAATTATAGTCTGTTTCAGAACAGCTCCGGATAACTGCTTTGTATGCACAAGCAATGAAATTCTATAACGATTTCCTTTCAATGATTTGGTATTCAAATTGCAAGGATAATGTTCAATGTATATTCTGGATGAGTCTTAACCATCTCAACACCAAACACACAGGAAAGGGTTGTTGGTTAGCTTCTTCACAGATATTTTAACATTAGTACGTAAAGATGTACTGACACCATTTGTAGATACAACCATGGCCCTTTGCCAATCCTGAGATTTGTGGGAGATGGAAAGTTATAAAACAGAATAAATACCAAGAAATACCAAGTGTTAGATAAGAACTATCCTTGTTTGCCTCACTTCAACCCAAATCAACCAGTCTGAATGTCAGGTGATTATAGTCTCCAACTAGACAAGCTAGCTTGTATTCAACAGTAAGCCAAGCTTGATCGAGTTACATAAACGTTGAGTCCAATTACACCTGAGGGGCAGATTATACTCTGACCTCTTCCCAAGGTCATCTCCCCAAACCTATCTTCAACCTCCCAGCATTCTGGTTAACAATAGGCTATGGGATTGGATTACTAATTGACCGCTTGCCTGTGTGCTTGGTTCACAATTAACATTTTCTGTTGTTCAAAAATACAGATTTTCAATACAAAAGTCTATGGCTGGGGACACTATTTTAGTGTTTTATTTAAGAATCACTGCTGTTATTTATTCAAATTTTTGTTAATTTTCAAATATTTGTTGTTATTTTTCCCTTTGAGTTTTACACAGAAAACCAAACAACTCCAAAACCCAAACCTGTCAATATCAAAATATAACATACAGCTTATTCACCTTAAAATAAAATATTCAAGGACTCTTTCCCCCCATTTGTGTTCATGAAACACAAAGTAAATACCACATGATACAGCAAATATTTTCCCCTCAACCTGAAAAATCCCAATTAAACACAAGGTACCAGTGCGCAATGTCTAACCCACGTATAATATTGACCTGTAGCTGATGTCATGTATATTAAATGTAAGAGCAGCATAAATCATTCAGCTGCCTGAACCAGAGGTGATCAATGCAATCCCAGCCACTACTACGCAGGCTCGCAGTACTGACGTCATTTACTCGTTTTACTCTGCAGATGTCAGCAAAATTGATTGATGGCTTTTCCCCATACAGGCTTATCAGTCATCTGTGTGCAAGAGGCACATCAATAATGTATACGACTATAGTAAACCTTTTTACATTGGGCTGCACCTTACAAATCAACCTTGCCATAAAGAGTGCATGTTTCCCTATAGAAATCTCCCATTGTATGTTCTTTGAAAGTGACTAATTTTAAATCTATTTTTTTGTTTTATTAATATTTTGTTCTTAGATTGGATGCAACCAACAGTCAGAAAAATTAATTTCCAAAAGCTATTCTTGAAATAGTAATCACGACAATAAGAGGAGAGGAGTAAAAAAATATTTGTGTTAATATGGTAACATATAATACTTTTTGAGCTCCTACAATATAACACCATAAGAGACATCTTCAAAGACCCAGTAAATTGTATCCTGTTAAACACCAACCTTAAACCCTACTAATAAAACAAAATCCTCAATCTTATCCTCCAACAAAATGAACTCTCTCACACACACAAAAGAAAAAGAAGCGAAAACACATTACAAAATTGCACACACAAAAATGTTTTAACACAAAAAACATTTTGGAAAAAATATCCACTATCATGTTCAAAATGGCCTGCGCACATGGTGCACAAGTGACGTAGGAGGATATTCAAAGCAATATTCAACCAAGACAGTACAGTGATAACGTGGAGCTACTTAGCTAGGCAGCAGGCGTCCTAACACCTGCCATCCGTCACGAGCCTGTTTTATTACCTGGGGCCAGTACCGGCTGTCTGAGTCATAACCTAACCTCATTTATCTACAGTCCTCCTAAGTCTACATTAACACTGACATGTTCGTGTCAACGCTGCCTGTACTTTAGGTCTTGCCCTAGTAACAACCACATACATATTCATCCACTCACTTGACAGTCAGTCATAGGTTCTCTCGAGGACATTAATGACAACAAAGTCAACTGTTTGGGGGATTTTCTTTCTAAAATGCTCACTTACTTCACTAGATATTCAATAATTCTCAAATTGCTTTACACAAATAATCAATACATTTCCAAAGGCTAATTTATGAATCTGAGTGCTAGTGGTATTAGACCCTTGATAGCAAATATCAACAAAACCGATAAGAAAGGTAAACAATATTTTTCTAAAGCATGTGATTTGAACTTGTGGATAAGAATGAAGGCCATATCTGTTATCTAAATGAGACACAGTATTGAACCCAATCACGCAAGGGTTGTGTGAAAAATATGGCGGGCTAAACCCACAGACCAACATGGTGGACTCTGTACCTTGCTCCAACAAGCTACAATGACCTTCACCTTCACTCCTGTGCTCACTTGCTAGAATATGCCAAGCGTAAATGTTAACTGCCAACAGCATTTATACAAGTCATCCAGACTGCTGAAAATGAGGTCAGGAGGAAGATTTATGATGGTATAAACCCCTCACACCTCCGATACTAAGTCTACACAAGGCTATCAGGCAACAAAATGCTTTACCTCCAGGCAAAATTTCACTACATCAAACCGATTGCTTCTTTGTTAATTATTTCCCAGGGCAAGAGCGATGTCACGAGAGATAATCCACAACATACATTACAGACTAGACTGATGTTTACACCATATACAAGAGAGAATATTTGACCCTTTCTAAAACATACAATCTCATTATAATAAATCAATTAAAAAACCAATTCACAATGCAACAGTACAACTACAGCCACCAAAGTGACAGTAGGAAGACAAAATAGTTAACAGTGTTGTTGTGATGTTTAAGATTGCTGAGAGGAAACTCTCAAAGCCCTGGGTGAAGCAAAGGTTTAGCAAGCTCCTCTCTACAAACAAACAAGGCATTCAACGGGCCTGTGGAAGCACATGTTCTAACTGCTGTTGTATCAGCTGCATCCAGCCTCTGTCAAGGTCATTCGAAAACCACACACACAATACCCACGTTTGTTTATCTACAACTAAACAGTACCTACTCATATCCAGCCCAAATCCAAAAGGAAGCTTCCAGAGACTAGAAAATAGTTCCGGCTATCCTCCATTAGTTAGATTCACTATTTCACAAGCTGGTGCCCGCCATCCCGACCTCAATCAATATGGCTGCCTGCCTGCCCGTCTGCTCAGCTATAGAGAAGCTGTTGGCTGAACACAAAGCCATTCTGACCTCAAAGTTGTACAAGCCGCCATTCTTACATTGTTAACTCACCTAAGCATCTACAGACCGCCAAGCACTACAGCAATGTTCACTGATGGAGACGGGGACAAACACAACTGCCATGCCATGTCCACCATATCACCAAGGTGCTGTGAGCTGGCGCTAGCTATTCTCATTGAATATTAATGTGGCGTTGTCTGGCTGTAGTCACGGCTATAGCTCATTCTCAAAATCTTATCTTGATGGTTTCATTGTGTATTGATTTCTGAGACACAGCAACTGCTATGCTGTCGTGTGGGTTTAACACTAGATATATTTATCGTGTAATGCACTGTGGACACAGGTACTTATTGTGACGAAACTGGTTTGGGGAGAAGAAAAAATGCTCCATAATTCTTGGCATAGTGTAGCTCTATTCATCAAGCTTAAAATGGTACATTATGTAAACATCCCTCACTTTGTAATTATACTACAACCATTAATTATTTAAAACAAAAAATGAGCAGGATTTTGCAGCATCAGCAAAATGACAAGCATTTAAACATGTCAAGTTGTCATGGGACCAACATTTTTAAATTCAACACACTAAGTATTTACATAACAGCCAAAGGTAAACCACCAGAACTGACAAACACATGCTAGTACAAACTGTCATAATATCTTTCTAACCTGAAAATGTCTGTTTGACATGCAGAACCAGTTTTAACTACCCCAGTAACATGTGATTCCTTGATAAACAGTGCTGGCAATATCACAAGATCTTATCATGCATGTGACAGGAAATACCAGTGGCTGGCCCACTGGACTAGCATGCAGACCTGCTCAATCAGCCCTAACCTTTACACAACAGGGAGTTACACAATACCCAGCAGTCCCAAGCTCGCCCACCCATTAATGCAGACCTGGAGAGGCCTGGCCCAGAATAAATCACTCACTAATCCTGTCAACTCAAGAATGTTTACACTTGTGAGTCATTTTCTCCAAGGTGTCCAACTTGGCAGCCAGAGCCTCAACTGGCTCCAGTATTGTTTGAGTTGTTATGTCACAGGTCAGCGTACAATCAGCCACCATCCCTTCAGCGTGATCACTGAATCTAACCATGCTTAATTTACCATAATTAAGTCTGTAGTCAGACCTTCTTTGTGGAGTAATGTTATCAAACATTTACAAGGTTCAATAGCTCATGCTGTAATTGGTTTAAAATGGGCTCGACAATGGATGTGAATACAAGCTTTTGTTTGTCTGTTGAGAAGCGATTATCTTGGGATTCATATAAGTATATTAGTTCAGGGATAAGATATTATGAGTGGAACATTGCCAGTTACTGAGATAAATATTTGATGCCTAAGAAGACTGCACAACCTGCTATAAACATGAGCTACACTAGGAAATACTTGCCACAGGAAGCAAGACAATTCTTATCGATATGATTACATTCACAATCAACTCCACAAAAGAAATCACCTTGACCAACAATACAAAATTAAGGGACCCCATGTATAGTTGCAGTTATAGTATCTTAATAAGGAGACCTGCCAAAATTTAATATGAACATTAGGGCTATGGTAAGGACTACCCCACCAGCTCTGAACACTGTTGACATATTGGGTCACCGTTCAATGATCCTGTTAAATTGTACAAATGATCAAAACTTAAGAAGCTTACCGCTGTTCTTTGCGTTCCCTGTCCCGCCGATCCCGTTCCACTCTTTCGATCCTTTCTCGTTCTATCCGTTCTAGTTCCACCCGTTCTCGTTCCATGCGTTCCCGTTCCATTTCCCTAGTTGCTTCTCCAATAAGCTCCTCCTGGTGTTTAGCAAGAGCCCAGGGAGGAGGAATGGGCACTGAAGGGAATTTTTGCTGCCATAACAGTTCCAACTGACTCACTCTACGATGAGAATAAGGTAGTTGCATTAAATGCGCATTTTGTAATTGGTGCATTGCTGCAAGCTGCTGTTGCTGCTGTTGTGCCACAATTCCCCTTGCTGTGAATGCATCCAACTCTCTAGGGTATGAATGAGGTAGAGGGAGTGGGTGAGAGATGGGGTTCAAGGAACTGAGTTGGTGGTGGTATGGTAGGGAGGTGAGCAGTGTGTGGGAGATGGGGTGGGAGGAGAGGGATGAGGAAGAGACGGGTATGCCAGGTATAGGAGCTGGCACTGGGTTGTGCACACTTTGATATGTAGGCTGAGTCATTGTCTTTGGATGCGCTAATACATTACTTTGCACAGGATTTTTCCGCATCAATTCAGGGTCTCTATATGGATGAACAGGTTCGTTACCAAGCACTATTAATGGACTAGATGCTGGACTGTTTTTTAAACTTCTGAGATCGTCTAGTCGAGAACTAGGCCTTTTTTCTTCATGATATCCTGAATAATAGCGCTCATCACTTGCACGAGAGTCTGACCTTTCTCTTGAGTCTGACCTGTCTTCTGTGGCAGGTGTAGTAGTATTGCTACGTGGTGCAATGGCATTAAAGTGCGACAGCACACTACTTGTAAAACTATCCCGAGACCTATCTGGACTCAAAGCCTGAGGTTTTGTTTCCATTTTGTCACTCTTTTCTGATGAGATTTCAGCCATGGAAGTAGCTGCCTCTGAGTTGCGGTTGATCTCAGATGAAGATTTTCCATCACCATTCAATGATATATTCTCAGCCTTGGCAAGTTTGGTCACTTGGTCAGTCAATGGTCTTTGCAAGTCAATATTAGCAAGAGATGGTTGATGATTCTGCCCTGAACTAATGAGTAATTGTTTCTTGAAGTGCATATTATCGTCCACCACTGCTTCCTGCTGCCTTGGCTTCCCGTCAGATGAAAGCAGATGGTTTATTTTCACAGTATCAGTTGATTTTGACTCATTTTCCCCTGCTTTCACTACGGGGTTATCAGACACAGTTTCCTTCCTGACCTCATTGCTTTCACTAGAGTCACTGACTGCTGCCAATCTGATCTTCTCGCTCTTTAACTTCCTGTTTTCAGAATTCTTAGGCTTACTCACAGTGTCCTTGACCTTCACAGGAAGGTCAGTTTTTGTGGAGTTTTTATGCTGATTATTATCTTTTGGTATACTGTTTGTAGGTTTGTTAACACAAGTAATCCCAACACTATCTTTAGAGCGTCTGGGTTTTAACTTTAAAACCCGACTCTCTTTCACACAGTCTTCCTCTGAAGGAACTTTCACTTTGTCTTTAATACTCTCTGTACTCTCTGGTACAGGAGACTCAGGTTTATCAGCTTCATTCGTGTTTTTCTGGCGTTTCCCTGGGGATGCAGAACGTTTTATCTCCTCCGCCTGATCCTCACTCTTTCTCTTCCTTTCCTTTGAAACAGGCTGTTTAGTTTTTACTGGAGCTTTTTCTAGAACTGAAACAGATGCATTAGAAAAATTAAATTCTCTTTAACAACAAACAAGGAAAACTTTATCAAATTTATACTCAAACAATATCCAAAAACATACCAGAATACAATATAAATAGGTAGCAGGCTGGTTCAATCTGACCATCTGTTGAAGGTTATGACCTTTCAGCCTTCAGCTGTGTCCAAGAAGTGAGTTTTGGGCAGACAGGTTTGTGTGTAATGGGATGAGTTATGTGAAAGGCTGTCTGTGTACGCTCCTGGGTTAACAGTTCCGCTTCAGTAGCTGTAACACCTGCTGGCTGGCAACTAGTTATCTGCTCTGACTTACAGCCAATCATACAGGAAAGGGGAATCAAGATATTTTTAGATCCAAACATGACTACACAAGCATGTTACTGTAAACGCTTTTTTACACAAGAGAAGGCTTCAAAACTGCTGAAGTGAGAATATCGTGTCATCAAAAGTCAGGGCTGAATCAAGCATCAAGGGATCTTTTGTTAGGCCCGATCCATGTGTGACCATAATAAGATGGCCTACACACACACAAGTAAATAGTACACACATCTACTCCTTCCTTTTGATATCCCAGGGATAAATGAGTTCCATGCTCTTATCAAGACAGACACGATGTCTGGAAAATCTCAAACCCTTCAGAGTAGCACATTAACTCGCCTGGTCAATTACAATCTTCAGGGGCTGGTATCAAGTGAGGAAATGGCGAAATTTGCTTATGTTCAGCCTCCACATAAACCAGCTGGCCGGGCTGCAGAATATTGCAGCCATTTGCTTCTGTGAGATAGATACACTGCTATTAGGTCCACAAGCATGAGTTAATGGTTGCACTGGATGGAGAAAACACTCCCATCCATACCATTCCATTAGCAGTTTTTAGGTGGGAATGCATGTTATTCACAGCAGGTTGAGTTGAATTCAGACACACACACCATCTGTCTGTGAAGGTGTGAGAACAGCATTGTGTTACTAGGGATACACATGATTACTACAACTATGTTATTACTAGTTAACAGACAGTAACTAAAAATAGTTTCACCTTTTTGTACTTTCATAATGTTGCAGTATGGCTCAATACAACATAACATTTCACCAACAACTTCACATATTGACTAAAACATACCAAGTAACTAAGGCTGTAACGATTCACTCGCATATTCGGTGAATCGAACCGAGGCCCTTCATGAATTCAATTCGTTATTCGTGGTCACCACAACCGAATATTAACGAATATTTACAATGTTTTTAAGGGAGTCACAGTGTGTTTTACTTGAACACTTATGTTCTTTTTCAAAGTGAGATATGCAATTATGGAATATGTATTAGCCTTGCAGTAGCACAAGTCATGTTAGTTTGCCAAGGCCACACATGGTACTGTCCACTATAAACTATTACATACCAAATTTGAGTGTCATGAGATAACTGGTTATTGCTGTGACAAATTAACACTGTCAACATGGGCGTTCCATATTGTGCATCAATCACTTAACTACAATATTGTATTCATGAATAATTATTCGTATTCATTACCCAATATTCATGATACATATCATATTCGCCACATAGTGTATTCGTTGCAGCCCTACAAATAACTCAAAACTATGAATTTCCATGAGCTTCAATTACATATACATTTCAATAACATTTTTATCAGGGAACAATGGGGGTTAAAAGATTAGGTCATGTAGCGCCACACAGAGGGCCCTACCTCTGCAACCTGAGTAGCTGTGACCTAAACAACGCGGACTGGGGGGAGTGTGGTCTGTGATAAAGCTGTGACAATGGACAGCCAGCCATTTATCAATGTGGGAATGTGAGCCCTGCCGCCACCAGCCACTATTTAGTTTCGTGACCTCCAACTTCGTTCATTTACAAACATGACAGCTTGCAAGCAAACTGATGGCTGCCCCTTAAACAATAGGGATTTGTCTGCACCAGTCCCCATATAGAATATCATGTTCGAGTGTGTGCATATTACATCTATTAACACAATATATATTGATTTCCACTTAAGAAATATTGCACCATACACTGTACTGTAACAGCTGGTTTTCATCAACAAGTTTCAAATACAGTTATATTGTACATATAAAAATCAGTTAAACGTAACTCATTTTCAAAACAGATTTCCTCAAATTAGACAAATATTTCACTTTACCTTGCCAAAAGTATTACATTATTTGGCACAGAGTTGAAATTCCCAAGTATGTGGTCTGCATATTTCTACAAATACACAGGAAGCTTGTAAACAGAACCAAATGTGGGCAGCTGAGCTTGCTATCCTAGCAGGCATAAGCAGCTGAGTAAATCCTTTCCATCCATGTTATTGATTCACAACAGTGAGATGTCTCAACAGCATGTCACAGCCATTATTCCACAAGGCATGAATCACGAAATAAAGCACCTTACTGATCAACACGACAGCATACAATCTACAAAAATGTGCGAGTGTGTATGGGTAGGAGATTACAGCTCGGTAGACGAGCTGACTGGTACAAGCTGGTGATGATAACGCTTAAACCAGACACCTTTGAACTTTGAAATTGTATCAAACCAAGATTAGAGCACTCACCTTTCTCCTGCTCTCCTGGTGTACTGCTTCCCGAGGTATGTCTCTGTCGTGTTTTACTATTTCGGCCTCCACTGATGACAGGTCGAATCACTGGCGTATTAGTTGGAGTGGCCGGATTGCTAGGGGGTTGGCGGCGAGTGAAGTGAGCCTACAATGGCAGTGAAATAATCATTACACCCCGCTTCAGCACAATCTATACACAACAAGTGTTATTCCATGTAATCTGTAGCCTACATTATCCTGTGGCGAGCGAGAGCTGTGACTGGTAGACTCCACTAGCATGCTGCCCCGCCAACTCAGACAATAGACCGAGTCTGGCGAACTCTCAACAACATGTGACCTTCAGGCCTGTTTGGCGGGCTAGCTCACAGGAATGTCAAACAGGGGTAAATGGATCCTTCAGCGCTTATCCAAACTTGTCAGTGTCTTGGCCCACAGCCAAAGTACATCACTACCTAGCAGGCCTCGGACCACTCACAAACTTTTTAACAGCATAACATGTGAGACCTAGACTTGCACTGTTCCCCTCTCCACGGGCACTGCTGTCAGAACAGACATGATCACGGCCAGGTCCTATTCACCATCCAAATGGAGTGAGACCTAATGAGCAACACTTGAATATGAGCACCCTGGGGCTATGTTACCTTTGGTTACATAACGGCACACACTACTGTGGCAAATGGGATCGCATTGAGTAATGCCTCTAGGTTTTCCCCAGAATAACAACAAGGGCTGTAAAGCAGTGAGATAAATAAAAGCTCCCTGCCTTCCCTGCCAAGCATGGACCAGCTGTAAATCATACAGCAAGGATAGTCTAAGCAGGCTAAGCCTCACGCACCTGACCTGCTTTCCTCGTCTCTCTCACACACACACAGCCATTTCTCTAACCTCAGCCGGCTTCTTGCCTGGCTATTCATTGCCATAACAGTGTGAAACTAATCTCAAGCCTTCTGCTCTTTGAAAGGGCTTTATTATGCTAATACTGTGCCTGGGGTAGTATTGAGAGTTAGTGTAGGAGATAGCTACCTCTGCGTACACTACCATACAAACTGAGGGGTCATCTCAGGGATGTTAAATATATATGATGTGCCTGTGTGAACGATTGTAGTAGGAAAATCAATAGAATGAGGTGATTGATGCAGTGCACATTTCACTAATCAAAGCTTACAAAAGCTCTTACATTAGACAGAAGGTCTCTAGATACAGCAGCTCATAAATCATTTAATGTTTCTATCAGATGCAGATTCTTGGAATGTACTCCCCTGCCAAGATTTAATCAGATTTGTTTCAATATTTTTACCATAATAACAACCTTCCCATAGCTCAAGGTTAATTGCTCAAATCATTTCATAAACATTAATCTGGAGAAGACAGCTTGGGCAGTGGTGAGCAGTGTGCCTGCTAAACCAAATTGATCGCAATGATGCTAACACTGCAATTCATTCATCCCTAAAATTACATGCACAGCTGTGTTGCTAACAAAACCTTGAACAGATTCTATTACATTTGTCATTACTGATAATTACAGTGGGAATCAATTCGGCGCTGAACACTACTGAGTGCAAGTCTACAAATTGAAACTGAATGAATGACTTGTTTGGTGCAACCGACTCAATTGACTAATGGAAGTTAGGCAGAAGGATCAAAGGTCACGTTAACACAGGAAAGCAAACAGGCACATTTCACATCCTGAGCGATAGTCTATCTTTGCCTAGGATGCAGTCTTATTTAGCCGGGGAATGGCTGGCTGTCAGGTTGAGTAAAGGCGATCTGTTATCAGCAAGATAGAATACCACACACCTTCTCTCCTGTTAGTCATGCTGTTAGAAAACAACATCAGCTGACACCAATCTCCGTGTTACAGGATCCGGGAGATGCAGTTGGTATTCAAGTCGGCCAACAGCGTAATAAATCGGCTCTTACTAGGCAATAACCATACACCTGTCTTGCTTGGATTGAAATACATAACAGCCGGAGGAAAAACATAGGTGAGCGTTACAGCTGCTGGTCTTAAAACATGAATGGAAAATTGTCTCGGGGAAACAAAACCATCCTATTTTGAGTTAGAACATCGCTTCATATATTCCAAACAACGTTTACCGCATCTTTGATCTTGCGTCAAATCTGTTACAGAAATAAAGGAAATCATTGTAAAAGTTCCAATTTTTTAAGAAACCTTAAACACGTCAAGTCTTTGCCACACAACACTAATTTTTCAAAGCTAAACATGGAAAATGACAACCCAAAAAATCTCTCACCCAATTCAAGTGTAAATTACACAACCATCTGAGCCAACAAACTGGAGCTACATACAGACACGATGGAATTAACCTTGGGAAGATAGAAGCTTGTGTGGTGTTTAATGATAGCTGAAAGTCATTATGGTTATGTCCAGGTAATGCTGTCAGCGTAATGGATTATTCATGTTGCCATTTCTCTAAACTAAACTAATTGATTGGGGCCTTGATCAATACCACAGCCTCCACCTCCCCAGTGCCCGACAAAGACTGGAGCACCTGCATATCAATACTCTGGTAGGGCACTTCCTGCACTGCTGCCAGCCATCATCTCACAACAAGCCCACAGGAGTCCAAGCACCTTGCTAATCAACCTGGCCCTATTACACGCCGTGACAGATGGCCAGCCTATGATACTGGTCCCATCAATATTACACATACTTAAAGATCACAATGTGGACATCCAGCGTGCTGGGAAATTGATTATGACCTTACACCACTTCTGAATCATTTCACAAAATTACTTAGTCCAGAATCAATGAGTTAATTTCCGGGAATGTCCTTTCAAATATTTATCTTGTAAATATCACAGTTCACAGCATTACTAAACAGCCAAGACCATGAACACTAAGTAAATATGAATGATGAAACTTTCATGAGATGCTGTTTTAAACATACATAGATTATACACAAGATTATCCAAACAAATATTGAACTACTTTATCAATATCACAACCATAAGAATACAACCATAAAGAATTCATTCATAACTGATAGGATATTCATATATATATATACCCAAACCACATGTCTAACCTGTCATAATAACAGTTGACACTGAAAAGGATACGTGTGGACAATTGGACTAAAATAAGAACATAAGCCTACTGTACCTGTTGTGGAGTAATCAGGGGGCTATCACACAAGGATAACACAAAAGATATCAAACTCAATATATTCAACTAATCAGACAGAAAACCTTGTCTCCTCTGACTGAAAGGTAGACCAAGATTGACAAGATAACATAGATTGTCACCGATTCAAACGGTTCCAGCTCGCTGCTAGTCGGCCCACCCCACATTCATATATGTCTTTCAATAACTGTTAAACCCAACCAGGCAATGCTGTAATTGTGTATAAGGGCTTTTTATTTACTTATGTGAATGGACAAAGGTGATATATAGCTTTTGACCCAAGAACAAGAGACTTGTAGGGTGACCCACTTTGAAAGACTCAGTAAATACTGAAGGCTCAAGGGCCTTGTGTATTCAGAAGATGACCTTTTGCCCCTCAAAGCTTGTTGCTAGGCAACACGATCACACAGACAGCCAAGCTAAACTTAGTAAGAAGGCTTAGATTACTATTGAGCTATTCAGCCTACATGGATAGGGGGAGCTCCTTGAGGGACCTTACATGAGGTAGGTAGGCAGGGAAGACTGGATATTTTGAATGTGCGGACAGTTAATAAGCGTAACAACCACATCCTGCAGCCAAGTACCTGCGTGCTGTTACTGCGTGACAACTTGACCTGCATGTTAAACAAGTACAGATAGGGGCTCAAAGGCACCTTCAACCGTTAACAAAGCAAACCACACAAGGCCCGATAACTTTTTAGATAGCAAGTCAGAGTTGTCAGTGATAGCTCACTGATACAATATGCCACCACTCTATCTGTATGAATAGAATATAGTCTTCATTTCAATATGATTCACATAATCTATTTAAGTAAACGTGTCTATTTGGGTAAACAGATTTCCATTAAGATTGTAGCTTGATTTTAAGATACACCCTGTCATCAAATGTAAATAAGTGATGCTAATAATACAATAAAATAACTTTAATATTATTAATAATATAACTTAACATGTCTTAACACTAGCTATACCTCTTCAGGACCATGTTCAATTCGGTACACCGACACATATTTCTTCATGTCAAAATTGTTTATATACAAAGAGATGTCAAATTTGAAACAATGGCTCTTGTTTTCCTCCTTTGCCTCAGGGAGTTAAGATCTAATCTAGTCTGCTCAAAGTTCGACATGACATTCACACACAATTTTGTACCAGCTAATACAAGCTCTTTCTTAATTCAACCATATCCCATTTCACCTATACCCTCAAGAAATAGTCTTGTCTTCAAACAGTTAAACTGGATTTATCCCAATATTTCAAATATATTTCTAAAACTGCTGTTCTTACCAAGCATACCCATCCAGATTAGAAGAAACAGTGACAAAAGGAATTGCCTAATCAATGTAAAAGATCAAGCAGCTGCTTACCTTTAGTAAAATAACTGTCTCTCTTTACATGACAGCACAATAAAACAAACCATTTCAGACTCATTTTGCAGCACATAACTGAAAGACGAAAACCACCATTGGGCCCAACTAGTATAGAAGGGAGTGAAACAAAGGGCCTCAATGAAATGCTTAATAATTGATATCCATTGTCTCAGCCACTGCCAGTCTTTGTTTCTTGTGAAAGATTGCCTGACATGGAACCACTCAGTAGACCGCCAGTGCATGAGGTTAAAGGGATTCTATATTTCATGTAGCTTAATCACCACATCAACTGTCATTTCTGAAATTTCAACTTCTGCATTTAATGAGCTATGTAAAGACTTCTACCATGTGGGAATAGACAGGAGAAACCAAAATGTCTTTTGAACCATCTGGGGACTACTCCATGGATCCAGAACACAACATAAATCATGACATTAAAATTAAATGATATATCAAAGATATCACGAAACCGCCACAGAAATACTAATGTTGAAATTGAAAGGGGCACTATTCACTGATGATACAGCAATGAAACATTGAAGGCCCCAAATACCATTCATAAGATTAACACATAAATATCATGCAGACCATTATCAACTAAATACACTTGTCTTCGGTCACATAAAA